GCTCCCAAAGCTGCGGGTCGGGAGGAAGCCCTTCAGTCAAACATGACATCTCTAGCTTAAAGTTGAGGGCGTTCAAGGAATAGAAAGGCATGGTGTTTGAAAGAGTTTTCCCTTTGCAGGTTTGGCTCAAAATGAAATGCGCTCTGCACTATCATCCGTTTCATTATCATACTTGGCACTGTTCTGCCATAATATGCCACCATTGATGGATAATGTTGTTATTGATACTGTTATTTTAATACAACTAATTGCCTATGAGCTGTCAGGCCTTCAAGCAGCAGGTGCCGCATGGGGCCGACAGCTACGGTTGTGTACGTTATGAACCAGCAACTACGATGACTAAGCCTGTGTCTCTCCCTCTTTAGTTGCCATCTCGGCTGCCCTCCTGTTTTTGCGTATCCAAGAACCAGGGCCACCTTTGGGCTTGGCCCACAAACGCGGCATCCCAACACGACACCGGAATGGCCTTCCATCCGCTTTGCAGCACCCACAGTAAGCACCAGGTCTGTAATCCTCGGTCACTTGGCTGGCGGTTCCAGCTTCTGGTTCGCAGGCTTAGGTATGTTGGCACTGATGCCTGGATGAATGGGCTTAGACACAAAGGAAACGCAAAGGACAGACAAATTCTTACAATCAAGGCTTTTCTGATCGTGCTGCTGCGTGGGCTTGCTGGTGCATCTTCACACACTCCTGGCGAACCCTCCGCACAAAAACCAAGCGCGCACCTAAACACGAAGCTCCGACCACGACGGCTTTCGGCTGTGCCAAACCTGAAGCTTGAGGGACAGCCTAGTATACCTCTACATACACACACACGCATATTATATATATATATATATTTATATATCTATCTATCTATATATATATATGTATATATACATACACACAAAACAGTGCATGAACAGCTATCTTTTTTGACTTGCATATTTACCTGTATGTGTATGCGAATCTTATGCAGAAGGGACGGTTGTGAGGTGGAGTTCTCGACGTATTCAGGCATCGGATATTTGAGAGAATCCTCACACCACTGCTACTGAGCATCAAGACGATCTGGTGTACAGTAAGATTGGTATTAGTATCATTGTCTGTCCTTGACTTGCTGGTTCTTGGTGAGAGGGCAAACCCGGCGCGTCGAAACAAGGATTGTTTCGAAACAAGGGCGTTGCAGGGTGGTTTATGTTGTACGTTGTATGCGGCCGACCGTCTACGAAATTGCAAAGTGTTTCTAACCTCGCGGCTTGGGCTTGTTTATAATGTAAACAGCGGCGTTCGTTCATAGCTGCGCGGTACTTGGGAGAGCGCGGGACACCCTTGCACCACCCGCCCGCAACCAACGCACCATCCAAATAAATAAAACATAATTTGGGACTATGTTTTCGCTTCAAAGACAAGCTCTTAAGATGAAGAAAAAAACTCCACCACACAACTCTCCATATAGCCATATAGTCACACACACACATATATATAGACATATAGACACATCTACATATATATATATATATATACATATAGGTATACATATACATATACATATATACATACATATACATATGCATATACACATACATACACACACATACATACATACATACATACATACATACATACACACACACATACATACATACATACATACATACATACATACATACATCACTATAACTGTACGTGTGTGTATGTATGTGTGTGTATTTACATACATGCATAGATGGGATCATACATATAAATGTGTAAATACATGTTCAAACAAATAAGATCTGGAACAATTGAATAAACGTCTATATACAGGGATATATACGTACAAAAATATGTGTAAACACACATGTATATATAATACATACAGACACCTGTATTGGATTTGTTAACAATATTCATAATCATTTACACTTGCATGCGTGCATGTATTTAGGTCCATGCATGTCCGTTTCTGGCCGCGTGCTTTCGTGCAGGCTTTGGGGAGGGGTGGGGGGGTTGG